GAAGGAAGGAAGGAAGGAAGGAAGGAAGGAAGGAAGGAAGGAAGGAAGGAAACCCAGTGTTTTACTACCTTGCAACTTGATGCTTTTTAATCAAGGCCTATCTGTCTAAAGGTCTAAATTTTCCATTCTTTTACCTGAGATGTTTTTCTCATTCAGAATATTATAAAGGTTTCAAAACTTTGGTTTGAATAAGGATGAAATGCAAAAAACATAGGATCCATCTTAGTCTTTTTGCGTGTGTGTGCATCATAAAATAGTGAAAACCATAAAACTTCAGGGAAGATTATACTTTCACTTGTTCTTAATGTTTGAATGTGGTATGATATAAAATAATAAGATTCTAGTATAAGTATAACTAAAAGAGAGTGATCCTTTAAAGAACCTTTATATCACTAGATTCTGCCATTACCCAAACACTTTCAAAATTCATCTTTGGAAGTTTCTGGAGAGTTTACAATTAACTCACATAAACAGTCTTTTCCACCTGTATTAGTTTCCTGGAGCTGCTATTTAAAAAAAAAAAAAATCACAAACAGTGTCGGAAGCCAGCCGACGAAGTAATTGAGGGTACCTGAAAGGGGGAGCGTGGACTGAGGAAAAGAAAGAAGACAGACAGAATTGCAGGAGGGATCACAGAATCAAGCTGTGTCTGTGTCCCCGAGTTTATTTAGAACGCACTATTTATAACATTACAATAAGAAAGACAGTAGTCAAGAATCAAGGTTAGCCAGATTACTTATCTAGTAGAACAATGAGATTCTCACAACTCAGAACTCTCTGCTAAACTGTTACAAGGAATGTGCAGTGACTGCTATGTGAACATTTACCTCCCGGTTTTTCCCAGCGCTTTACAATCTCAACTTCTTACATTGTGGCCAAGTACACAAATATCCTTGTTCCTTGTTATACGATTTCACATGTCCATAAGTGACTCCCCACAAAACAGATGTGAAATGATAGAAATTTACTCTCTTATAGTTCTAAAAGCCAGAAAACTGAAATCAAGGTTTTGTCAGGGCCACATTCCTCCTGGAGACTCTAAGGGAGACTCTTTCCTTGCCTCTTCCAGCTTCTGGTGGCAGCTGACATTCCTTGACTTGTTGCTACATCTCTCTATATTCTTCTTCTGTGGTCACAGCGTCTTCTCCTCTGTGTCTGTTTTCTTCTCTTTCTATCTCTTATATAGACAGTCGTTATTGATTTAGGGCCCATCTAGGTAATCCAGGATTTGATCTCATCTCAAAATGCGGAACATAATTACATTCTCAAAAAACTTTTTCTCCAACTCACATTTATGGGTTCTGGGGATTAGGACTTGGAGA